TTGCTCGCAGTAGTCTTTTAGTGCGGCTACAACGCAGACCCACAAAAGGACGCAGAACCGGTACACAGCGTGACACTTTGCGTGGGCGTTTACTGAAGTGCCGCCCTTACCCTGACCCTAACCAAGTCTTCACCCTAAAATTAATGATCCCCCTCATGGGGACCTCCATTTTGTCCCCATAAGGGAGGCGAGTCCCCACACGTGACTGTGTAAACAGATTTAGGTCCCCACAAGTATAGTAATGCTAGGCCCACACACAGACACACACACACACACACACACACACACACACACACACACACACACACACACACACACACACACACACACACACACACACACACACACACACACACACACACACACACACACACACACACACACACTCACACACACACACACACACACACACACACACACACACACACACACACACACACACACACACACACACACACACACACACACACACACACCCAGTTTGCGCACATATAGCTCAAAAACACAGCCAACAGACCCTAATCAACATCTCCAACTCGACCAACGGTCTCGTGGTCTTTAACGGCTGTATTGAAATGTGTTCTTCCTGCAGAGGGTCAGTGTTTCGAGTACAAGTGGAGGACCGGACCCTGGAAGGCTGCCTCTCGCCTCGTCTGGTGCCAGCGCTCAGACGGACTCAACGTCACAGGTGAGGATAAAATATCTCAGGGTGGAATCTTTAAATGATATTGAGTGTGAAGTAGATAAGAGAGCTGCATGGTTGACCCTGCTATGACTCGTTTCCTCACTTCCTGTCCCCTGGTCTGGAAGTCAATGGTTTTTTGAATGTGTTTTTGGTGGTTAACCAGAAATAAAGTGCCCTTGCTTCAATCAATTAGTTTGAAAAAAGAAAACCACAAAGAAGACGGTTTCAGCCACCAATCAAACAAGGTTATACAGTCTGATCATTTCCACCCAGGTCAGATCTCTCCACGTTAGATCCTTTAGCAGTTCGTGCAGTCTATTTAATTCTATTCGTAGTCAGGATGTGACATAAACGATGTAATCCGCCGCCTCTCAGCTCAGACACATGAGGTAGTGTGTGTGTGCTGAGGTGATAATGGTGGTTATTAGGTTACTTAAATCTGTCTCCTCCAGTCAGTGTGCCAGGAGGCTTTCTAAGCATTGTTCAACGGAGAGTTCCTGGAAACTTTAAGCAGATGACGCTTTAATCCGAAAGAGCGCTGCGGTCAATCCTGTTGTTCATCACATGTCAGGGTTAGTCACAGCAAAGACAGCGATGGGGCTGATGCATCTATATCTCCCTCAGATGCTTTCCTGCATTTGCATCTAGAAAATCGAATCTGTGAAACAAGAATAGTTTTGATGTGTTCCTATAATGATGAATCCCATTGCCTACTTAAATTGAAAGTAGGCAATTGGATTATACAAATACATTTAAAAGGGAATGAGACTGGACTCCAAACAAAGAGTTAGTCTGCTCTTAGTGTTGTTCTTACCTCAGAACTAATCCCAGATATTGATCAAAACGTTAAAGGGGGTCAAGTGTGTTTAACGGAGACACTCTTTCTTAATGGCAGTCTCTGAATGAGTTTTCCAAAACATATTTTCAGCTGATGTTGCTCTTGACTTGGAGGTGTGTCTACCAGAGTGATTTCCTCTCGTGAGGGGATTTGCCTTATTTTGCTACTCCATCTTCAAACAGGCTTTGAGTCGTGTCTTCTTCCTTTCTTTGTTGAGCCCTGACTTTAAAGAGAAGCGGTTGTGTCAGCGCACAGATGGTGTTCCTGTGTGCCTCCGCTCTGATTGGCACGCTGCATCTTTTTCCTTCTTGTAAATGTTTCCTCGTAAGCAGCGGCGGCGTTACCCTCATGAATATTCATACGGAGCGCTCTCCCCGAACACGCCAGCTGATCAATATTCAGCAGCTCTGATAGGTCACCGTGTTGTTGCAGCATGTGTTTTCTGTGAGTGTCTGCTGGTTGGATCGGTGTCAGTCTGTCGATGTTATCCAGCTTATTTTACCACAGAACTCACACTCTGTAACCCACAGAGCGTGCAACTCAACAAACCCCGGGTTAACCTGATTGTTAATGACACCAGACACGACACTGACTAAACCCTGGATTCAGACTCAAAGGAAATATGTAGGTCCCCTCTAGTCTCTTTGTTTAGTTTAGGGAGTACTAGAAATAAAAGATTATTTCTCAGCAATGACAATTAGAAACTCCCAAAGGACATTTCCTGAAGTTAAATCCATTCGTAAGTTGCTTACAGAGAAACTAGTATATTCTCGTTAAGGGGTGATTGGAGGACTTTAAAGCCCGTGTTCTGGAGTCCCTGTGCTGCACCTATCAACTATTTGGGAACTTTATTTAAAAGCTATCCTCACCAGTCTGAGCTTCTTTCAGTACGATGTTTAAAGCTTGTCATGATCATCCTGCAGAAAGGCACATCAGTGGGAAGTCCCCATGGTGTTAGCCTTTCAGAAAGCACACATATAGGATAATAGTTATTTGATTCCAAACGTCCCTACATTTCTGTAATGGTGCTGTGAGTTTTATTCACTTCTGGAAGCCTCTCAATCTTTATGTGTAAACCAAAGCATGAATTAACACAAGTGCTTTAATCAGTCTTGGGGTTTAAATGGGATTTTTTAGTGCTTTTCAAACCGAGTTAATTATTAAATGATTCCGGCTCCACCACCCATAAGCATCAGCGTAACGAGCTGAATATAAGAGACGCAGGAACAGAGAAGCTCGCCTCCAGCTCAACGAGTTAGAAAGCTGGAGCAACTGTTTCTCTTCATGGATTTCATTCTTTGCTCGACTGCAAGTTAAGGTCTGACACATATTCTGGCGTATTTGGAGCTGATGTACCGATAGGATCATACTTTAATACTTGCATCACAGCAGCTCATTGTGTAACAGTGAGGGAAGAGAAGATTTCTAAACTACACGGATGCTACACGGACCACTATTGCGGTAAGCATGTTGTAACTTCCGGTTGTTGTTGTCATCTCCGGGTATCCCGTGTGCCTGTTCTGTTGCTGATAGCTTATTATCTTAACTTAATCGATCGTTTTAAAACTCTTGATCACGGCAACTGCCTGACGTTGTAATCACACGTTACTACAGTTTAAGTACTCACAACTCTCCTTCTCTTAGCGACTGTAACTCCACAGTTGCCTACACTCTTTTCGGGTTTGCTAACGGTAGCTACTTTAGCTTGATAGCTAGCCATGGCTCTTTCCCCACCCTCGGGTGCTATTTCCTGCTCTAACTGTCTCATGTTTGGTTACTTCCCTACCTCCTTTACTGGTACCCATACATGTGTTAAATGTAGTATAGTTGTTAGGTTGGAGGCGGGAATCATAGCCATAGAAGCCCGGCTCCGCATTTTAGAAAATAACTCAGCTACAGTAAAGCCCATGTTAGCCGGTGCGGACCGGCAAAAGGTAGCTCCTCTTAGCCGTCCCCCGGCAACTCCCGAGCAGCAGGGAGATTGGGTGACTGTTCAGAAGGGTCATAACGCGAAACCCGCAGGCAAACTCACACACACACACAC